CCACAGGGAACTCTAATACATTTTGTGACTTACTATAAGAAAATTATCTAAATTTTAAATTGTTATAGTTTTTCGTTTAACGTACAAGTAATTGTACTGGAATTTAAATGTGAAAAGTATTCAGATAGGCTGTTTATAACATCATTTATGTAAAAGTGGCAATGTTGGAAACTGAACTCACTTTGGAGGATCAAGAATCCATGGTGGCCATATGTAGCCCTATAGCCACAAAGCTGTAAATGGGTCTTTCTCTCACTTCAAAAGCCCACCCAGTTAATAAATCTAACTTTGATCAAAAGTCTTGGAGGAAAAAAATGGTGCTATCTAGCTTTGTTAGCTTTTATAGTTTAACAGTTTTAGATACTGGATAATCAGTATATTCTGAAACGTATACGATATGGCTCACAGACCTTAAACACCTGTCTGAATCATTCAAAGAACTTTGTTAAAGAAGAAAAATAGGTGGACTCTATAGTGAATTCAAAAAATGGAAAAGACGTATCATAGTGTATCTTTGGATTTCTGAAGCCACATTATCTTTCGGTACTCTCTCCTCCCAACCCTGCCTAATGGACAATTTTCACTGAGCCCATGATTCTTTTTAGATGAAACGATTTAATGATGTNAATCATTCAAAGAACTTTGTTAAAGAAGAAAAATAGGTGGACTCTATAGTGAATTCAAAAAATGGAAAAGACGTATCATAGTGTATCTTTGGATTTCTGAAGCCACATTATCTTTCGGTACTCTCTCCTCCCAACCCTGCCTAATGGACAATTTTCACTGAGCCCATGATTCTTTTTAGATGAAACGATTTAATGATGTTGCAGGACATTAGCTGTTAATGAGTTTTGGACTTAGGTTTAATGGAAACGTTAACCAATATACTTGGAAAAAGGTAGACAGGAAAATTTTAAAAAATCAGCATTATCTTTCTCCATAAAATAAGCAAAGTGTGTGTTTATACTTCTGCACTTGCTTTAAAAGAGCATTTATTGGGTTTAGCCTCAAAGAATTGTAAGAATAGTCATTTTTCTGTCAGAGGGATTAAGAATGGGTTCTTGCAAAGAACACAATATGCATCATCTTCATTTAAATATTGGAAGATGAGGTGGCTCTTAAAATTGATCTAGATCAATGGAGCCATAGGTACATATATGCACAGTTACCTCTAATTTTGTTGGGTCCATGTTCAAACAAAGCTAAATTAACCCTTGCTAAAGCAAATGAAGCATACAAAGCACAGCCATAAGTTACCCACCCACACTTTAGTCTAATTTAAGGAGAAACAATCTCTGCCCCACAACCTGTAACCCCAAAGCACCCTGACATGGCACTGCAAAAATTCAGCTAAGTAGTTATAAGAAAAATCCATTTAATCAGTTGCAGAAATCAACACATTTTCCCACACTGTATTTTTTTATAAAATCTGTACATGAAATATATCCTTATTAATAGTTAAATTTCCAGGACATTCAAATTCATTCTATCTTCAGTATTTACTGTCAGATAAGGATGATACAATTTTATTAAATATTTGTAAAGAGTGATATTTAGTATCTAAATAGATTCTACGTATTTATATATTTATATGATGTGTATAATTGAGGAAGACACATTCTTAAAATGTCTTAGGAACCAATCTGGTGGAATTTATAATTATTATTATTATAATGGATTATGGAATTATTATTATTATTGGCACGGCAGACTTGGTAAAGATATCCATAAAAAATTATGGTATTTTAGGATTAATCTGGTACCACAAATATCTTTGGGCCAAATTTGGTAAATATCCCTGGAGGATAGGACTGCTAATATGGAAAACCTGAAAGGACTGTTACAAGGTACTGACCAACTGAATCCTACTGCAGACCTAGGGCAGAGAGAGGTTCATTCAAGATATTGGGTGAGCTCATTAAGTCCCAATACAATGTTTTTGTTGTTGTCAGTCATTTAGTCATGTCCAAACCTCAGCCACCCTGTGAATCAGTACTCTCCATGCCCCTCTGTCTCACACTGCTTCCTTCACATCTGTCATGGTCAGCCTGATGGCATCCTGTATCCAACCAGCAAATACTGGGGCAGCCCCTTCTCCATTTTTTTGCTGATCACTCCCAGCATGACTGACTTTTCTAGTGAGTCAGCTTGCATGATATGACCAAAGCACGGCAGCCTCTGTTTGATGATCTTGGCTTCAAGTGATATTTTGGTGAGGTTTGGTCTAGGACTTTGTTATTTTCACAGTCCATGCATAATAATCACCTCCAGCACCACAGTTCAAAGACGTCCACCCTTCTCCTCTCTGTCTTTTTCAGAGTCCAAGTTTCACAGTCATAAGTAGCAATTGGAAAAATGTAATTAATAGTTCTTAAACATTTTTATTGTATTAGCTGAAGAACACAAGTAAGGCAACTGATTTCAACAGTGCCTTAAAATAAATGGACCTCTATAGGCTTTGCCTTTGTCCCTTTTTTTCTTTCCTTCAATTAACTCTAAATCTCGGTGACTGTCTGGACAAGTCCTTGCACTTTTCTTAGCAAGGTTTTTAATAAGTGGATTGGCATTGGCTGACTTCCAGGGCTGAGAAAGTGACTGCCCAAGGTCAACCAGCTAGCATGTGCCTAAGGCACAACTAAGGCTTGTAGTTTCCAGTTTCTAGCCTGGTGCATTAAGCACTACACCAAACTGGCTGGATGTCCTAATTATAGTGCTATCCATTTATCCTTAAGGCAGTAGAAAACTATGGAGGCAATTTGCTCTCTATTGTCAATCCATATTCTGCCTCACACTTGTTCCCAGTTACTGCAATCACAATCTTCCAAGATAATGAATGATAATTATATATATTTTTTTACATAGTGACTCATCTTGGACATCATCATTACAGCTACAACAAACGTAGGGCTATCTCACTCATGGGCTGAGAACAAGTTAAAAGCAAAATGATGCCGAGCATGTTCATGCTTTAATTAGGTACAACTGGGTTAAGGTCCTAGATAAACCTAGATTTCCTGGTAGGGCAATAAACTCAATTTTCTGCATATTTGATAATTGCAAGCATTCAAAAATTAAATGATTTATTATAAATAGGGGAGCAACATGATTGATGCTTCTATATTAGACATTTTAAGTCACATTGACATCATTGGCTTATTATTTAATATTAAAACTGTTGTTTATAAAATAACAGGACTTCAGTTAGGTTTCAAATTATTTATCCTCTAGGCCCAAAACAAACCAAGTCATGTTTCAATAAATGTGAGAACTAGCCAAGATTCAATTCAATTCAACTTTGAGATGTGAATATTCAAATGGGCTTCAAGTGAAACAATTCTTTATAAAAGCACTTTTGTATATTTCTTTATAATACTCCATTGAGCTGGAAGAAATAAAAGTGAGCGAGAAACAAAAGGATTCAGAATTCTAGATTTTTAAAAATCTGAAGTACATTTATCCTTTGGCTTTTATAGCTGAATAAAACCAGGGATGATTGGATGCAAAATTGTATCCCCCACTCAAAAAAATTAAAACTCTTGCTTAACTGAATAACAACCAGCTTCAATTTGATCCCGAGACCTCCCCCCACTCCTTTTTTCTAAAGGCTTTTCTTGCTCTCTTCCTTAGTCCTTGACATTGTCAGGTTTCCCTAATAATCAGTACTGAAAACGATCGACAGACAAGTCTCTTTGAATTCATTAGTAAAACTTATTAGGGAAAAAAAGGTATAGCGTGGCAAATCTTTCAAATGAGAAAACTGCTGGGGAAACCCCATTTTTATAATATTCCTAAAGATCAGCAGTCCCATCACTGTGGAGATAGTGATCAAACGAGCAAGGTCCAATACTTAACCAAGAGAGATGAAGAAAGCAAAGCATGACTTTTGAGATCCTGCCATAACTGTGCAGAGGAAAAGCACATTCCAGCGATCACAACTTGTTTATTCTTTTTTCCCAGTTCCTGGAAACCTGATCACTATTGGTTGCCTCTGCTTTTTCAATACTTACTCTAACCTTGGTGTTCCCTCTGGGTCTCCCATTTACTTAGGAACCAGGTCTAACCTTTACAAGATCAGCTGGGAACTAAGGAAAAAACAAACCGGAGGGTGGGGAAACCTCAGAACAGTTGGGGCAATGATGAATATGGGCTAATATTAGCCCCCACACACACACTTTCCCTAATCAAGGCTCTCTTCCTCCAAATTTGGATTGAAGGTAAAGGAAAAGCGTGTTAGGGACAAAATGTATTCGCTCCTATTGAATTTCTGCCTCACCGGTTTTTACTCAGAGCTTGAACAGGATTTTTTTTAAAAATGAGTCCAAAAACAACCATTAGACTGAGAGTGGCTACCGTTGCAAAACCAAACAGAGTCGCAAGGAGTTCAGGCGACATATAAATATAATATTTATTAATCCTGCCCAAATTGCAGGAAACAAGATTTTTCCAAGGATCCAATCTTTCTAGTTCGGCGCTTCTCTTTTTTGTTACAGTTCAGAAGCAGGAGCTTCCAAGGAAACCCATACAGCAGGGGTAGTCAACCTTGGCTCTTTTATGACTCGTGGACTTCAACTTCCAGAATTCCTGAGCCAGCCATGCTGGCTCAGGAATTCTGGGAGTTGAAGTCCACGAGTCATAAAAGAGCCAAGGTTGACTACCCCTGCCATGCAGGAAAAAGACACAGAATACTCCACTCTGTCCGTTCTCCCAAGCGGAGAATCCACCCGAACAGCGGTCTCCAATCCTGGCAACGTTAAGACTTGTGGACTTCAACTCCCAGAATTCCTCAGCCATGCCGAAGTCCACAAGTCTTAGAGTTGCCAAGGTGGAGACCCTTGCTCTACGGTAGACAGAAGGCCGCTTAATACCTAACAATTCAAACGAGCGAACCCTTCCATTTCCCTTAACCCGGAAGCGTTGTGTTACGCCTTTATATTACGTTTCCGGTTTAGGGTCGGTTGCCACGGCGGCCGCACTTCGGCGCTCTTTGTTGTCATGGAGACAGCGGCTCGGGCGAATTGAAGCGCCTATCCTGCTGGCGCGGAGGACCAGGCGGCGCAGAGACAAGGAGCGATAAAAGCGGACAGGATGTTTGTCTACTTGAGCAAGAAGGTGGGATCGGTGTTGTTGTTGTTTTTTTCCTTCCTTCGTCCTTCCCCAACCTCCCCCCCCCCATTTTTGCAGGAAAAGTTTAGTCGTCTAAATCCGTAGCGGCCAATTTGACGCGGTCAGAATTTCTTACTTAAATAACTCGCCGCGTGTATCTTAACGGTTTTTGACTTGGTTGTGGCTCGTATTTAATTTCTAAATTGCCTGAAATGTATTAAGGGTATGTATTAATCTCAGGGCAGATCAAAAGGGGAGGGGAGGAAGTTGCAACAGTTTGTGCTTCCAATGATTAACCCTGCCTCTTTATATAGAAATATTCATATTGCATACAGGTAGTCCTCGACTTGCAGCCGTTCATTTAGTGACTGTTCCAAGTTACAATGGCACTGCAAAAAGTGACTTATGACCCTTTTTCACACTCAACAACCGTTACAGCGTCTCCATAGTGAAGCGTGCAAACCAGCTTTGCATTTCCTGCATCGGATGAAGAGAGCACATCTTTCTCCTTCTATCCTGGCCACTTTTTACAGAGGCGGGATTGAGAGCATCTTAACAAACTGCATCACTGATTTGGTGGTAGCAGTGCCTCAGATAGAAGATCCATACAGAGAGTGGTAAGATCCATACAGACAGTTCGCTTCCTGTTCTTCAGGACCCTGCTTATAAGCGCTATGTGCTTTTAAACTCAAAGCATTGTTAGAGCCCCCACACACCCACTTCATGGTCTGTTTCTGTTGCTCCCCTCTGGGAGGAGGTTTCGAAGTATTTATAGCAGGACTACTAGATTCTGTAATAGCTTTGTTCCTTATGCCATCCGTCTTGTAAATTCGCAGGATTCTTTTTCTCTCTGTGTGTATGTACACGTTCAAACTAGACTGTGATGTTTCTCTGTGCCATACATGTGTGTTTAGGCGGGTATATGCATAATGGTATTTTTTGAGAGCTGAATGCAACGAAATTTCATTTTAATGTATGCTGAGTAGTATACATTTAAAGTGGCAATAAAGTTTTTATTCTATTCTATGCTATTCTGTTCTATGGTCATATGAGCAAAATTCAGGTGTCCCAGGATCATGTGATCAGCTTTTGCAACCTTCTGACAAGCAAACTCAATTGGGGGGGGATGTTTACTTAATAACTGTGCTACTAACTTAACAGCTGCAGTGATTCACCTAACAACTGTGGCAAAAAGGTCATAAAATGGGGCAAAACCCACTTAACAAAACCTCACTTAGCAACATAAATTTTGGAGTCAATTGTGGTCGTAAGTCAAGGACTACCTGTATAGTCATAAATTTGTAACTGCGTATTGGATTCATATCCTTGGCAATAAGTGAAACCATCACAGTACTTATAGATATGAATGAATTCCACTTTTTTTTACATGTATGAATAATCTATATTTTTTGTCCTATGTTTTTCCCAAAGAGTTCACTGTGATTTCTCCATCCCCATTTAATCTTCACAATGATGTGTAATGCAGCCTATCTTGGCACATATATATGCATAGGGGTGTTTTAAATTTTTTTTAGGGGGTATGGGGGTATGGGGGTGGTTAGGGGAGGCAGGGGGGATGTCTCCCTGAGGCCAATGGTGAGGGGGGAGGTTGGGGGGCTAAGGGAGGGTGGTGTGATCAGTACGGTCAGTGGGAGGGGCAGATATGGCGGGAGCAGAGGACCATATCGGGTTTTGGGAGCACGCACACGCTGCTTACAAGCTTGCGGGTGCTCCGGTCCTCAGGACTCTACTCGGTCCCCAGGGATCTTAGAACCTCGGGCCCGGGATCACCGGCTGATGTTATGCAATACCAGGTCCGTGGTAAATAAGGCCCCCCTCATTCAAGATCTTATTCAAGAGGGGGGTGCGGACCTGGCAGGGATCACCGAGACCTGGTTGGGCGCGGAAGGGGGTGTACCCCTCGTGGACATCTGCCCGCCGGGTTTCCAGGTATTTCATCAGCCAAGGACCCGGGGTAGGGGCGGTGGGGTAGCGGTCATTATAAGGGA